CTGATGGCAGACTTTAGGCTCCAGGATTGGGAGCAAGCACATTTCTGTCGTTTAAGGTACCTGGACTGTGGTACTTGGTTTTGGCATTCCTAACAAACCAAGATACTAGGCTAGTCTTTTCAAGATTTCATATAAATAAAAGCAGGGGCTGAAAAAAGACCAGTCAGTATAGCAATCATGAGGACCTGAATGCAGTCCCCAGAAGCCATGGAAAAACCAGGGTGTGGTGGCACATGCTTGTATTCCTAGTGCTGAGGAGGCAGAGGCAGGTAGCTGGCTGAGGCTCAGCCAGCCTAGTCAAATTGGTGAGACCCAGGTCCTAACAAGAGACCCTAGCTCAGAAAACAAGGTCAGGCTGGAAAGATGGCCAGTGGTAAGAATGCATGCTGTGCAGGCGTGAGGCCTTGAGTTCAGGTTCTCCAGACCCATGTGAAAACTGGTCACGGGCCAGTGAGGTGATTCAGTGGGTGAAGGTGCCCTTGGCAAGCCTGTTGACTTGAGTCTATCCCTTGGACCCACATAGTGAAAGGAAAGAACTGACTCCCACAAATTATCCTCTGCCTGCCACACATACACATGGGCACACACACATATACACACTAAAATAGAAATGTTTAAAAAAATTAAAAGTGGATATGGCCATGTGTGCCTGTAACCTCAGCCTGGGGAGGGGAGCCATGATGGAACCCCTGGGGTTAGAAAATGGCTAGCCTCAGGTTCACTAACAGACTCTGTCTCAAGGGAGTAGGACAGAGAGTGATTGATAGAGAAGATACCCAATGTCCTCCTCTGGCTTGTGCACATGCACAGCACCTGCACAAATACTGGTGTGTGTGTGTGTGTGTGTGTGTGTGTGTGTGTGTGTGTCTTTGTCCAGTCTAAGGCTCCTGGGATTTATTCATGTTGTCTTGTCCCTTTTAGTTAATATTCTACCCTATGGCATTAGAGCAACTTGTTTTTTAACAGTTATTAAATGTTTACTTTCTGTGCTTTATAATTTGCTCTGCTCAGCAGCTGTTAGGTATGGGGCCTCTTGATGGACAGGACATCAGCAGTGGATTTCAGGGCTGCAATAGGAGAGCATGAGCTTTCTTCACTGTCTCATAGAATAGTTGAGAGCAAGGAGGTGGGTGGCCATCCAGTGAAATCACCAAGAGCCAAGACCCATCGATCCGCTGATCATAGGAGAAGTGGTATGTTTAGAGTTTTGTGAAACGCACTCTCAATTGTGAGATCAAAATGCTTCAGGGGTGCCCACATTTTATATGTGGGTGTGATGGTTAATTTGACACAGTCTAGAACTGCCTGGGAAGGGAATCTCAAGGAGGGACTGTCAAGACTAGGTTAGCCTGTGGGCAAGTCAGGGAGTCAGGGGGAAGTTATTTTGTGTGGGGGCCCACAGAGGCTCCCTGGTAAAACCTTACTCAGGGTCAGATAATCTATCTTACTTTACCCAGCAGGGCTGCATAATGGGGTGATTTGGCCAAGGGCATGGTTACCAGGTGTTTCGAAAGTTCTACACTTGGCTGTGTGTTGTGCTTTGGTCTTGGAAGGAGGAGGTCTTTTGCCTCTCCCCTTGGTAGTATATAAGAAGCCCATTAGAATAAATTTCAAGGCGGCTGGGTATTGACCCAGGGCCCTCCTGAAGCTATCCTGTGTGTCTGTCTTTCTGTCTTTGTCTATATTTCTGTCTAATACTTCCTCATTCCTCTCTCCTCCCTCCAAGAGCCCTTCGACAGGTTGGAGTTGGACTCCGACAATTTTGATTACATTAACCGAGGCTAGAATACTTTCCCACTGAGGATGGCACCATTCCCTATGTAAAGGATCCAAGATTGTATAGGAATGCAGAAAGCCAGCTGAGTACAAGCATACATGCATTAATTCATTCCTTTCTGCTGCTTCTTTTTGTTTTATAATTTATTTTTAGTTTTGTTTTGCCTGCATGTATGTCTGTGTAAGAGTGTCAGAAGCCCTGGAACTGGAGTTACAGACAGGTGTGAGCTGCCATGTGGATGCTGGGACTTGAACCCTGGTGCTCTGGAAGAGTAGCTAGTACTCTTAACCACCGAACCATCCTGTCTGCTTCTTAACTATAGATGCAACCTGACCAAATGTCTCAAGCTCCTGCCACTAGGACTTCCTGAACTGAATTATAACCTGAAACTCTGAGCTAAAGTAAGCTCCTTTTCCCTGAGATACTTTTCTCAAGGTATTTTTATCACAGCAACAAGAAACAAAGTAAGACAACATGTGGCTATTTCTGGATCTTGTTTTGTTCCATCCAAATGGGGCCTGGCAAAAAAAAAATTTTTTGCTTCACTTTGCTATGATCCTTTCTAGCAATATGAATAGTTGAATTAGAAATTGCAGGAAATGGTGACGCACACCTTTAATCCCAGCACTCAGGAGGCAGAGGCAGGAGGATCTCGGTGAGTTTGAGGCCAGCCTGGTCTGTAATGCAAGTTCCAGCCCACCCAAGGTGAGACCCTGTCTCAAAAGAAAAGAAAAAAGAAAGTGCAGGAGCCCACCTTTTATCACAAATCCTATTTTAATCCTTTTCCCCCAATAAAGTCAGAGAAGTGCATATTCCAAACTGTCTTCATTTGTTTTATTCCAGAAATTCTTTTTATCTGAAATGTTTTCTGACTTTGAAGTTCTTAGGAATTGCTTTTTGGCACAGTTTATCTGCTTTGTCCCAAGTGGCCTCAGCAACCTCATCATTTCACTGCAGTGATGATGATTTTTGGCTTTTCAAGACAAGGAAAACGCCTATGGTTTCACTTTGAAGCTTGCTAGAGAAAAATTCCTGGGACCCTTATCATGAGGTAAGGAAATTTGAAGCGAAAACTAATTTGGATTTGGAAACAGTGACTGTATTTGGCTCCTCTGTCACCCACAGGATGTGAAGAGTCATTTAGGCCAGCTTCCTGTAACCTAGTGACAGATAAAGTGGTCCATTTGCAGCTGATGATGACAGAGAGACCTCATGTGCTGTTCAGGAAAGAGCTCCCTGCTGCCTCCTCACTCAGCTTCACCACCTCCAGAGGTTTGGGAATGCTTTTCTTGGTACAGCTAGGAGCAGAGCTGAAAGCAGGTTGGTTTTTTTGTTTGTTTGTTTGTTTGTTTGTTTTTCCCTTCCCTCCTCAAAGTCACCATTATCACAACCAGGAGATGTACAGGAGTGCTCCAGTCCACCTGCTTTCCACGCAGTGTTGCTCTGCACGCATCGTCATTGAGCCAACCAAGGGCTATATTCAAATCAATTACACTTTTACTGGTTTGTTTTCCTTCCTTTGCTGCTAAGATTTGCATGCGGGTCCTCCTCATGCATGCTAGGCAAGTAGTGCACCCTGGAGCCGTATCCCCAGCTTGGTATATTTTTATGACCTGTGCTAGAGGACGGCTCATACCAACATCTGTGAACCTAAGAACCTCTCTCTAGTTAGACATCCCTAGCACTGGCAGCTTGGAAGTCTCACTGTCTTCTTTTCCCAGCTCTAAACCTGCTCCTGTGGCTGAGTGCCAGGATCAGCCAGCAGCCAGGCCCAGGAGGTGGGGCAGGGTTGTGCTGAGTGGGCTGGCTCAGGATTTACTCTCTCTGCGCCAGACAGTAGGGACATTCAGCATAGAGGGCCTTGGGTGCGAATCAGATCTCCACAGTTGCAGGGGAGACCTTGGCACAGGACCCAGCAGAGGAGAGGCAGGGCCGGGAGCCTTGGGTGGTCCCGGAAGTTCCACTGCATCGTTCCCCAAAGCACAGCACTTGTCCTGGAGCATAGGGAGGCCCAATTAGTCTGTCATCTGGACATGGCTTTGGGGATGATGAGAACCCCAGGATACAAAGGGAGGATGGTGGCCAGTGGAGGGGAGCCAGAGTTAGAAAGAGAAGAGGAGCTGGAGGGCAGCATACTGTGGGAGCCACAGGAAGATGCCATTCACAGCTGAAAGGAAGAAACATGGTGTGTGTGTGTGTGTGTGTGTGTGTGTGTGTGTGTGTGTGTGTGTGTGCACGCACACGTGTGCTGGGGGAGAGCGAAGCCTGCCAGTCTGTGTGGCACATACCTGTCACCCTGGCACCTTGGAGGCTGAGGCAAGAGGATTCCCCAGTTCAAAGCCAGCAGTTACATAATGTGACCTTGTCAGAAAGAAAAATGGCAGAAAAAGGAGGGGAAAAATCTTTCCTAAACATGACTTTAGGAAACACGGTTTGAAATTTAAAATGATTTGGAGAAAGGATAGGACTGTAGGAACCCACATGGAGGTAATGGTGCAAAACCCAAGGCAAAAGTGTGAGAAAAACACGTGCCCGAGAGGAGCAGGGCCTACGGGTGCCGTGTGCTCAGAAAAGAGTAAGTCTCACATCCCAGAAGGGAAAAAGCAGATGGAGTAGAAGCCATCATTTTTTAAATGGAAGGAAAAGTTTCCGTGGTTTGAAGAACGCCCAGGGTTTTGCAGGTTGGAAGGCCCACTGGTTTCCAGGCAGAAATGATGGAAAAAGACTCATAACTAGGCAACGCCAGGGAAGAGCCCGGAATTCCATGATTAAAGGGAAACTTCACATAAGCTTCTCAGTGGAGAGAACAAGTAGCAAAGGGGGGCGCACGGGTCAGACTAAACTCCAACATCTCCTTGCAGTGCTAGACCCCTGCGAGGTTCAGTCCGAAAAGTGCCGCCTATGCGAAGGCAAGAGCCTGAGGTGGAGCCGCAGCACCCAAGGGAAAATGACTGAACATGGTGGCACTCGCTTGTCATCCAGTGCTGGAGTGGTAGACACGGGTGGACAGTGAGCATAGCCTACTTGGTGAACTCCAGGCCAGTGAGAGCCCCGACTCAAAAAGTCACAAGATGGGCAGCATCTGAGGAATGACGGCTGAGGCTGACCTCTAGCATAGCATACGTGTGCACCTGCACACATACAAGAAGGAAAGGAGGGAGGGGGGGAAGGAGGGGGGAGGGGTGAGAGGGGGGAGGGGACAGAGCTACCTATATGAATCTCCTCCACATCCTACTGAGAAACCATCCCATAGTGACCAGGCTGCCATTCACCCACCTAGGCAAGAAAAAACTATAATACAGCAAGAGGAAGCCAGGGTAAGCTGAGCCTCCAATCCATGTCTAGCCAGCTCCACATGATGAGGAGCAATGAGCTGGTGCTGTGGTTTGGCTATCCCCTGAGAAACTTGCATTGAGCCTAACCTGGTGGCACAGGCCTATAATCTAAGATACTTTGGAAGCTGAGGCTGGAGGATAGCAAGTTTAAAGCCTGCCAAGTTATAAGACGGCCTGGAACAACTTGGTGAGATGCTATCACAAAAACAAAAAACAAAACAAACGAACAACAATCAAAAACAAGTGAGGGCTGGCGTGGAGTTGAGCAGTAGACCACTCACCTGCTTGTCTGAGGCCCTTGGTTCAATCTGAAGTATGGCGTGGAGGTGACCCTCACGCTGAAATGTCATTGTCACTCTGATGGTACTAAAAGGCAGGACATGTCAGAGTTGACTAGGTCATGGGGAAGGGCAATGTCCTCATGGACAGATAAGGCCATTATCACAGGACTGGGTTATTTGCAGGCTCTCCCTCCCTCTCCCCTTCTTTCCTTTTATCCTTCTCTCCCTTATCATGCAATGCCTTCCATCATGTTAGGATCCAGCAAGAAGGCCTTCACCTAGACACAGGCGTGGACCTCCCAGTGAAGCTTCTAGTCTCTCTGATTTGCCGAGTTTGTAGTTGCAGCGGCAGGAAATGGCCTGGGGCAGATGAGTTTTTAGTGGGAACCTGCATTAGCTGCTTTTCTCATGGCAGTGACCAAATACTTGACATAGTGCTTCAGGGCTGGCTTGTTTCAGGACCCGGCGTGGCGGGCAGGCATGGTGGCAGGAGGAGGAGGAGGCTGTCTGCTCCCATCTGAGCAGATTAGAAAGCAGAGCAATCAATCCTAGTGCTCACCCAGCTTTCTCTTTCCCTTTCATTCAAATCAAGCTGCCAGTCCATGGGATGGCGTCACCCATTTCAGGGTGGGTCTTCCTCACTTAACCCTCTATGGAAATACATATGTTTGCATGCATGTGTGCAGGTGCCTGTGTGTGCGTTCTCAGAGTCCAGAGTCAGCATTAGGCGTCGTCCTCCATGATTTCCCCACCTTGTTTTTTGAGGCAGGGGCCCCTCACTGAATGTGGAGCTTATCTACTTTGCTAGAACAGCTATCCAGCAAGCCCTAGGGATCCTCTTGTCTCTGCCTTGAACACTGGGAATATAGGTGCACACCACCATGCCTGACTTTTTATATGGATGTTGAGGACCCAAACTCAAGTCCTCATGCTTGCAGGGCAAGCAGGTTATCAACTAAGCCATCCCCCAGCCTCAACAAGACTATTCTAAAACTAATCACACCACAGATGCCCTTCAGCAAGACTTTAGGAAGTAAAAACCATTAGGAAATTTTGCACGAACAGCAATAACGAAGGTAGGCCAGCTGGACAGGTAGAAATAGGTAGGAGTGGGGGTGGGGTGGAAATGATACAAGGAAATACCAGCAGCAACTGGGTTGTTCCCAAATGTTCCTATTTTCCTTAGTTTTTTTCTTCTTTCTCAGTGAAAATGTGACTTTTATTTTATTTTTTTAAAACTATTTGCCACTGTCACATTTTAGATCAGTTTCTGTTACTATAACAGAACTCATGAGACTGGGAAAGTTATAAAGGATAGAGATTTATTTTGTCTCACAGTATGGAGGTCTAAGAGCATGGTCCTGGTAGCTGCTCAGTATAACACGAATTCTAAAAAGTATTATTAATAGAAAACTCAGGAGCCAGATATTGGGGTGAATGCTGAATGATCAGAGAAACAAAACAAGCCACATCCAACCTCACCTTGCCAATTCCTCAGCTGATCTTGTTTCCTTAGACTGGAAGCCTCTGAATCCTTATCCGAATGGATCTCAGCTGAACTGCTGCTCAAAAGCCTAAAAGTTTAAAAAGCTTTAGTTCCTGGTCCTCATGCCTTATATACCTTTCTGCTTCCTGTCATCACTTCCTGGGATTAAAGGTGTGTGTCACCATGCCTGGCTGTTTCCAGTGTGGCCTTGAACTCAATCTAGAATGCTGGATCTCTGTCTCTAAAATGCTAGGATTAAAGGCATGTGCTACCACTGCCTAAACCTATGTTTAATATAGTGGCTGTTCTGTTCTCTGACCCCCAGATAAGTTTATTGGGATGCACAATATATCAACCACATTTCCCCTTTTTTTGTTTAAAATAAAAAGTTATAAGAAATATAAGAAAAAGTATATACAGTAAGTATATACAATATATACAGTCAAGAATTACATTAACAATGTCTAGTCCATTCACATTTGACAAATTCAGACAAAAAGTTTTATTTCTTATCCTATTTAAAACAAGTAGTTCCTTTTTAAAAATTAGATTCAATCATCTATCTTCTATCTTATCAGCTCAGCTTTCATGGTTCTCCATGCAGCAGAAAGGCCAATGGGTGTGATGGAAAGACAGGAGAGACAAAGGATCGCTGTATAACCATCTGCTCTCGTGCGGACAGTGCAGCTGTTCCCCAGAGAACTGAATTCATTCTCCAAGTAATAGCCTCAAAGGCCCCACTCCCAGCACCATTACATTGGCAAGCAAATCTCAACGTGGGTTTTGGCAAGAAAACCATATCCAAAACCATAGCAGCCATAAAACAAATAGCAGAGTTGTGCTTTGTAATTTACATGTGTATTTCAGGGGACGCTCCAAGGTCCAGTTGTGTTCCTGCTGATTCTGTTTCCTATGAGCACTGATCTTTACTCCACCAGGCTCTTCCATCCCCGACCCATCTACCTTGGCAGCCCCTCCATATGTCTTATAAGTCCATGATTTTTGTCTCCACTCTCAAGCTACAAGGGCTGTGAGCAGAGGCTGTAGTCCAGCCCTTCCTCAGACTTTCATTTCTCCTGACTCCCACTTAAATATCCCTCCATCCCACCCCAAATCTCAGGAGCAATGGAGACCATTCCCACTTCCTGCCATCACCCCTATTCCCACCCCAAACCCCACCACATCTGCAGGCCTCTGCCTCCTGGCTTTGCTGGCCCTCATCCTTTACTTCTCCCTTGAACCTAGGTCTGTTGATTACAAGACACTCTCTCTCTCTCTCTCTCTCTCTCTCTCTCTCTCTCTCTCTCTCTGTCTCTCTCCTTCTCCCTCCCTCTCCCTCTCCCTCTCTCCTTCCCTCCTTCTCTCCCCCGCCATGTCTCTAGCCCTTCTGCCTAGAAAAAGTTCAACTCTCCATCTCAGCATATCCCACCCCCTCTGGACCCAGAGCTTCCCATTCACCTTCCTCTGAATTCCTAACTCTCTCCTCTCCTCCGCTCTTGGCCCCACCCTTCCCTTGATTCAGCCCGACTCCACCCAGGCAGGAACACCCCAGTCTTTGCTTCTATGTGGCTCAGAAGCTTCACCCTGCCTTGTCTTGGCTGCTGTCTGTCTCAACATGTCTCTGACCACATCTTTCTGATTTTCTTCCCCAATACCTTTTCCTTGGATTTTGTCCCCAGATAGATGCCTTCTTGCCACACAAATGCCTCTGGAGAACTTAATTCCCCTGTTCAGAACTTCTGCAGAAAAATTATTTTCTCTCCAGCTTCTGGTAATAGAGATGGGTCAGGCTTTGAAAACTCTTGTTTTCATTATAAACATTTTTGTTTGTTTTTACCTCTGTCTTCCACCGCATTGGAAACTTCCCTTCCCTTCTTCTTCCTCCTGCTCCTCCTGCTCCTCCTCCTCCTCCTCCTCCTCTTCCTCTTCCTCCTCTTCTTCCTCCTCCTCCTCTTCCTCCTCCTCCTCTTCTTCCTCCTCCTCTTCTTCCTCTTCCTTCTCCTCCTTATTCTTTTCTTTTTTTGTTTTGTTTTTGAGACAGAGTTTCTCTGTGTAGCCCTGGCTGTCCTAGAACTCACTCTGTAGACCAGGCTGGCCTGGAACTCACAGAGATCCGCCCGTCTCTGGGAGAGCTGGGATTAAAGTCATGCTCCACCACTGCCCTGCTGATGCCATTCTTCTTTAGACAATTGTCCCCCAAAGTGGAATGGAACACTTCCCCCTCTTCCCAGGAATGCAGCCTGACTGGCATTTGAGTGCCTAAATTGGGGAAATTAGTTTCTCACTGGCTGACAATTTGGGTTCCAAACATAATGAGCAATCAAGGCTCTTCCTGATTATGGGAGAGTGAGGTTTAAGAAGGAGGATGAAGGCCCCTGGGAAGGACACCCAGAGAGAACTAGGAGAGGGTCTGAGAAGAGGGGGTGGGAATGGGAAGTATCAAGCCAATGGAACAGATAGGGACAGCCTTGGGGGCAGCAGCCAGCTGCCTGGTCTGCCCTCTGACCAGGGCTTTTGACAAGTGTCTGGGAGGATAGGAAACCAGCAGGACTGCCAGCCAGCTGTCTGCTTGTGGCTCCAGGAGGAGCCCTGACTGCCAGTGGTGTGCTGCATGGGGCAGGCCCCTAGAACCTGAACCTGAAGCACACCTCAACACCGCACGTTGGGAGGAGCAGTGGACAAATGGGACACCATAGCCATAGCCTGGTGCCCCGGGCAGTCTCCTCCAGGATATCTTCCAGAGACCTGGCAGTTCTCTTCTCCAGCAGCTCTTCCCAAATCCCCCCTTGTAGCTGCAGAAATACCTGACTTCCCTCCAAACTTGTGCCCCCTCCCTCTCCAGTCTCAGCAAAGGGACTAGAATCCAGAGGTCACTCTGGAGCCCCTCACAAGTCCCCAGGCCTCTCAGATCATTCCAGCCCTCCTTTCTGACCTGGCCATGGACACCAGCACACCCTTCTAACCAACTTTCCTCTTCCTTCCCCACACTTGCCCAGGGACTCCATGGTGAATAGCTTGGGCAATGCTGAGACCCTTTGAGAGACCTGAGACTGAAAAGGCTAAGGCATCGGAGGCTAAGGGGAGACACGTGGAGATGGGATTCAGCCATAGGGGCGGGGGGTGGGAGGCAGACAGGGATCAGCTGCCCAAATCCCAGCATGGACCCCAGAGCAGAGGAGAGACTAATGGGATAACATCCCACCATGAGAGTGTCCTGACCTCTCTTTAAGGAACTGGGGCTGTCAGCCAAGGCCAGAGTAGCCAGGAATGCAGGAGGCCTTACTGCTGAGGCTCAGACTTGGGGAGGCCCAAAAGGTCACAAGTCCTTCCTATATCAGTTAACAAGACCACACAGTGATAGCAGGAGCAGGTAGATGGAACTCAGGTTGCTGGACAGTGGGGGTGTGCAAGTCCAGGCCCTGCATGGAGCCCTTCTAAACAGATGCCAAATGTATCATCTAGCCCTAAGCATAAGATAGAGGCTGGGGCCCTACAGGGGATGAGAGTACCCTGATGCTGACCTCAGCCCGGACTCCCTGAAGTCAACTTCCTTAAGTTTGACAGCTCTCCTTCCAGAATAGCTTTCCTGTCTGTTGGCAGCAGCTCTTCCAGGCATGCACACACACACACACACACACACACACACACACACACACACACACACACACCCTGTTGTTACAGCATGACCATCTAAACCCATGATTGGTCTGTTTTTCACATGGTCTAGAACTGCCCATCTGAAATGGAGCTCAACAGAGGGACAAACAGGAGCTGTGCTGTGTTGGAGTCAGTCTCCAGTGGATTCACGGGGCTGGACACTGACAGTGTCTATGTACCACCTCTGGTCTTCAGGCTGCACATGGTCTATACCCATCTGAATCCCTTTGTCCTGACTAGAGCACACTTTTCTCCCCAGGCATTCCTCCTGGGACAGCTACCAATTCTCCTCCACCCCGCTTCTCTCAGTCTCAGAGTGCCTTGAGCAGAGCCCGGGGGGACAGCCTGTCTGTGCTTCCTACACCAAAGCAGTGCCCAGCAGATGTCCCAGCAAATTAAGGAGTCACAGCCGAGCAGGTCTGCGATAAGGACAGTTTTGGGTGAAGGTCAGTTTCTGTCTGCCCAAGCATGAGTTTTCCATGGCAACAGCAAGCCCTCCCCTCCCCCTGAGGGCAGTCCTTCTCTTGTCTCCACATCCTCCCATCACATAGCCTCGCCTCTTCTCTGGCTGATAATCCTGTGTACATTTTTACTCCAGTGCTTGTGAATAGAAGAGAGTGGGTGGAAACTATTCCCAGGGCCCAACCATCCCCAACTCAGTGCCTGGGCAGCTCTGTTCCCCTCCAGCCTGTCCCCACCCCAAGCCCTAGACAGATGCCAACCCTTAAGTTATGGAGCAGCTCCAACCCTGACTGGAATCAGCCTTCCACCCACACACACCTGTTCCCTAAAGACTCAGTCTGGCTCTGGCTTTGCTTGAAGGTCACTGACAATTCAGGGTCCTGCCCCTCTCCCTGAACTTGACAGTCCCCTACCCCTATCACTTAGGTTCCAGTCCCAGAGTTTTGTGTCCCCTCTGCCTAGCACTTTCCAGATGTCTTTCCACACCTACAGCCTCAGATCAGCATCCAGGGCCCACTGGCTTTTTACCCTGGAAGCCTATGAGGGCTAGCCTTGGCATCCATTCTGATGGTTTCTGATGGCCAGGTTACTGAGAATGACAGTGGCTGCCTCACTGGTCCCTTGCCTTCTGTACCCACTCCGTGCACCAGCAGCCTGGGATATTTGCAATAGCAGCTTTCTTATGTGTTGTTCCCAGCCATAACTTGTGACCCTTCATTAGGATGTTCAAGATGCCTCTTCTCTGTCCCTGGCAAGCTCTCTTGGGACCTGGGTCACTCAGAGCCTTGCAGTGTTCAGGAACACACCAAGCTCTCTGCTATATCTTAGTCATGTACATGCTGTAAACACCATCCGATGCTCTCCCCTAACATGGTGACTTCCACATGACCTGTCTTGTGACACATCCTCTCACTCCTTAAGCCCAGGCATCTAACCATCTTGTTCTCTGTGGTTTCTGACCACACAGAGTGTCATGGTCAGGGACTTCTCTGCTTACATATCTTTGTCCCTGAATTGGGCCAGGCTTCTAGAATCAGAGCCTGAGGCAGGGATCTAGGTTCTGGTGATTTACTAGAATGGAAGGGAGGTACTCTCAGGACACACACAAACACACCACACTCACACACACCACAGTCACACTCAAGGAAAGGAAGCAGAAGATAGGAATACAGAATGGATGTCAGGTAGAGTTTAGACAGGGCCCAATCCAGGGCCTTTGTAGCATAAGCCATACTGCCAACCTATCCCCTAAGGCAAGGAGGCTGTCTTTTTTTGTCCCTGGATCAGCTGGTTGTATGGAGGAAAGTTCTAGAATTCCCTGAAGAAGTGACTGTCATCAGCCGGGATGATTCACAGAACAAAGGGACCTATCTCACCTACAAGAGAATGGCTAGGTTGGGGTGTGTGTGCAGGGTACAGACAGCGTCCCCATGGAGTGGGACTTCTGACAGGTTTCTGAAGGACTGAGAAGTGAGGACGCTGGCTTTCCCAGTGCTAACAATCACTATCCTCACCATGTGCCTGCTGTCCTGGGAGAGGGTCCCACCCACAGCCTGAGGGAACACAGTAGAGCTGTCATAGGGACAAATGCCCACTCTCCAGAAAGAGACTCTCCAGTGAGCACGGCCCCACTCACTGGACATCTGTGTGCCCAACTGTGAAGGCAGCGTTCTTATCTAGTCTTCATAATGGTCACTTTGCATGTGGGAATACAGGCTGGGAGGAGTGATGGGACCTCAGACAGATGATGTAACTGAGAGGAAGAACTGAAATTCAACCCCAGGTGTAACTCTGACTGCTTTCATCCCCTTCTGTGTGGGTAGCCTTGATTTCAGCTCCCCCTGGAATAAGGAGCTGGGTAAGAAGCTGGGTCATGCTTGTGCCCTACAACAGTGCTCAGTTAAATTCAGAGTCCCCAAGGGTCACATCTGGCATTTGCAAGTTGGGAGGCCCACACATGTATTTTGCATATAATTTGCATACTGGATGCATCTGGCTTGCATGTGTTCACACTGAGACCCCATCAGCACTGCGTGGTGCTGAAGCTGTTTCTAAGCCACCCTTACTCCGTGAACGTTCATCTGGGCTTTACAGAGTCATGGTCTGGGTAGAGTCCAGGTTCCATGATTTCTGGACTCTCTCCCTGGTCCTCACCTCTAGGCTGTATACCTACCCACCCAGGGTCCTGAACAAGTGACTTTTGTCTAACAGGAAAGCACCACTGCAAACTGCTGTCCCAGAAACTTGTGTAAACTTGACAGTTGCCGTTTTTTATGTACATGTGCAGTCCAAATGGGTTACAATGGACTTTGAGGGAGCAGGGCTGGACAAAGAACTTGTTGTAAAAAGCTTTTAATAGAGAGGCCCAGGTGTACCCGTACAGAAAGAAGAGGTTGGGAAGGGATGGTGAGTGTGGGTGATGGTCTGGGTAGAGTCGAGAACCCATACCTCCACTGTTTGCTTAGGGAAGCATGGGCTGTGCCTCTCTGAGCAGCAGGGCCTCATCTGCAGCAGGGAGGCTCCTGCCAGAAAGCTGGCCGAATCTGAGCGTTCTATTTCTGTCTCTTTTAGAAGAGCTACATTCCAAAGACTGTGTGGCTTTTAACGATCTTAGGTGATGATCTCTGGATAAACAAGGAGCCATATACCCTGGGTGAGACAGAAGGCGGCTAGAAAGAAGACAGAGACCCCCTTCTGGGGAGGGCATGGAGGCAGAGAAGGGAACAGGTCCAAAGCATACAGCATGCCAAGCATCAGGGCCCCAGACTCACACACCACCAGGTAAGCTTACCTCTCTGCATCTTCCTGGGATCCATTTTCTCTTTTTCTGCCCCAGCAGGAGATCCACAGAGGAAGCAGGGCAGCTCTAGTGTCCAGTAGAGTTCTCACCCACCTCCTTCCCCGCTCCACCACTGAAGCATTCTAAATGCAAGGGTTTACTCCTGTGTCTGTCTAGGATGCATGCATGGGTCATTCTGACAGCTTCCCTGACTGTGCCTGTTAACCAGAGCTATAAAGGTAGGGAATGTGTGTGCCTCTGTGGGGTGTGCATGTTTCTGTGAGACAATGCAGCTAATTGTGAATTGTGTCTAGAGGTGCCTGTGCATGTCATGTGAACGGAAGCTGTGCTTCTGTGTGTGGTGCTTCTGGAGTCTCCATCCAGGTGGAGAGACTCCCATCTGAGCCAGGGAGGACATGACTGTCTGCCTCCCTCTCCTGCCTCTGGCCTCCCTAGGTTTCCTGTCTGGCAGATGCAGAGTGGCCTCATGATCCACAGGGAGACCCCTGTTTCTGACTGTATCCAGCCAAGCCCCTGAGCATCTCCCTGTGCCAGTGTTCTCCTCCTCCACTGGGATGGGGCTCAGGCATTGGCTCCCCAAACTGTTCCAATTAAAGAAGGAGCCTGTTTTTGATGTCAGCCACCTGGGAAGGGGAAGCAAGACCCATCTGTCCTTCTAGCCCCCTGTTACATGGACATTCTCAAGTTCAAACAGGGTCCAGCCTCCTTCCTGTGAGTTGTGGGCCCCACATCTGGGGCTGGGGAAGGGAGTGAGAGGAAGGGGTGGGACCCTTTGGAAAAAGATCACAGCTTCTGGGGTGGGGGAGCTTTCTCCCAGAGCCAGCCAAGTGGTGCTGCCAAGCAGTCAGAACCCAGCAGGGTGAGGAACTGGGCTCTGTTCATTTGCCCCTCAGATGTCTCACTTTCTGAAAAGCAGGAAGTTGATGGCTTCAAGAGCATGAGTACCCCATACTTGCAAAATGGCAACTAACATCTCTGGTAAATGTGCAACATTGGGGGTATCTAGAGAGTTGCCTGACCTGTTCAAGCTAGCTCAAATGGTGTGCTATTAGAAGTAGATCAAGGAAGCCATGGCTTGTCACCAAATGGCTCTGTGTTTCCCAAGCACTGTGGCATTCTCTCTAGGCTACTCTCCTTACTTCCTCCTAACTGGCACAGAGCTGTGGGCATAGCATGCCCTAGTGTGTCTTCTCACCTCCAGAAGCCCCTGTGCAGTGGCTTGAATAGAGCCCTATCCTGCTAAAATCCAGTTCCATCAGAACCTCAGATTGTGACCTTATTTGGAAATAGGGTCTTCGCAGATGTATTTACTTAAGATGAAGCTGTTCAATGGCCGCTGTCCTTATAAGAACACGGAAACACAGAAGAGGGTCATTCGAAGACCAAGAGAAGGGCTAAAGCAGAGCTGAAAGCGCTGCAGACATGAGCCAGAGATTGCTCAAAGCCACCAGCAGCTGGAAGAGGCAAAGAAGGATTCCTCCCTAGAGGAGTGGCCCAGCTAATACTTTGATTCTGGACATTAAGCCTCCAGAAATAGGGGGCAATAAATCACTGCCATTTCTAAACAGTTTTTGTTAAATTTATTATCTTATTTTAAGTATGTTTGTGTACCACAGTGAGTGCCTAGTCCTGGAGGGGCCAGAAGAGGGCATTGGATATACTGGAACTGGAGTTACACATACTTGCTGGTAACCACTAAGCCATCCAGTCCCATAAAATCCTGTTACTTCTCAGCCACTTGAACTGGTAGTTATGATGGCAACCCTAGAAACTAAAACACTCCTTGAAGGGGATTGCAGTCACCTGTGTCCCACCATTGCTGGGGTCAGGAGAAAGGACAATCAGCCTGGCTTAGGTCAGCTGCCTGCTGTAAGGGACCAGCCAGAGATGGCAGGACATAGATGTGGCTTCAGAACTGCTTCTTCCAGCATCCTGGATACCGGCACCTTCCCTCAAATGTGTTTACTCACACCTCAAAGTAACTTTTTACAAAATTAGTTATTTTACGTGTGGTTAATTTACCTGCATGCCCGGTGCCCAAGGAGGTCAGAAGAGGAGATGCAACAAATGCTTTGAACTGCTGAACTATCTCCAGCCCCTCAAATTTACTTTAGGAAGAAACTAGAGTTGGGGAGACAGTAGTCAGTGGAATGCTTGTTTGCCGTTGTAAGCGTGAAAACCTCAATTTGATTCTATAAAACAGATTTTAAAAAAAGAAGAGAAAGAAAAAGAAGCCAGGTATGTGGCAAGCACTTGTAAACCCAGTGCTGGAGAGGTAGAATTGGGGTCACTGGGGCTCACTGGCCAACCTAGCCCACTGGGCAGACTCCAGAACATTGAGCAACCCTGTCTCCAAAAGAACAAGGTGGGTGGTGTCTGAGAAACGGCACCTGAGGTTGACCTTGGCTCCATATGCATGTGAACACATATACGTGAACACCTCCCCAACACACCAAAGTGGGGGGCAGGGACCTCCAAGCAGGCCCCATATTCCATTGGGGTTCAGATTCAGAGGGCTGTGGTCCTGTGAGGATGAGACAAAGCCAGAAAGAAGTGGTCCTCTTAGATGACAGAATCAGGATTCAAAGGCTTCTCGCAGGGGAGGCAGTTAACGAGGTGATGTCTAGTAAGAAGGACTATATAGACCAACTCTTCGGTTACAAGAGTCATCGTTTTCATGAATGGAATGTGCAGGGAGCCTGGCCTAAGGTAGTTTCTTATGAGGCTGTCCTAGCAATATTCTCTGACCTGAAGCTAATAATGAAACAGACATCAGACCGTATTGGAGACACATGGGGCAGGAGTATGGAGGGGATTGTGAGTTTATTCTCGGCAGGGTTGGAGAGTTAATGGTGCAGCTCTTACCTAAGAGAAACGGACAGTGCTGACCCACCACTGAACCCAGACAGGCAGCCTGACCACCCTACCCGGGTGGCAGAAGTTGGTGGGAAGGGAAATCTGCAGTTATTAGACCTCCTGGGGCACCCATAGACAGTGGACAGTCTGAACCTTATTGTAGGAAAGTGGCTGGGAAAGGGTTTCCTGGTGTGCCTCTTAATACGGTCATCCCTGGTCCAGGGCCTGGACTGCAGTACCCATGTGCAAGTAAGACATTTAAGACTACTGTATCCGGCTAGATTATTGAGCGGGTCTGGGGGATCCCAGCAGGGAGGGCAGGCCTGTCTCCAAGCTTTGCTGCTTTTTGCCGGGTACCCTAGAGGTACTCAGGGGCTGCGCGTGTTTGGGGGCCCTCCTGGAATTCAGCGCCCTGCGTCCCGCCTGCTCGTTTTTTTTTTAACCTCGTGTTTGCACGGGGCCCCTCGGGCGTCAGCTCAGAACTGGGGCCGGGGGCTGGCCACGGGGAGGGGGGCTGGCGGAGCTCGCGGCGCGGCCCCAAGTTTATGCTAATCCGTGCAGAGCCCGCCTCCCGCCTCCCCTGCGCGGCCCCAGCCGCGAGTAGCCCCGGCCACTCGGCGGGACGCAGCGGCCGCGCAGCTCCAGGCGGCCGAACAAGCGCTGCGGGTGTCGCGAGTGGAGGCGGGAGCCAGGCTGGCGAGCGGAGGATCGCCCGCGGGAGGCACCGCGCGGGGCCGAGTGGAGACAGCGCGATGGGTCGCCGTCTGCCCATGTGGCTGTGCGCCGTCGCGGCGCTGCTCTCGGGGGCACAGGCCAAGGGCACCCCGCTCCTCGCACGGCCAGCACAGCCCAGTGCCTCCCGCTACAGCCTCTACACGACCGGATGGCGTCCGCGGCTGCGCCCGGGGCCGCACAAGTAAGCGCGGGGCCGGGCCGTGGCGGGAACGCGAGGGGGGCCCCCAGCGTGGCGCGCCGCCACTCCCACCTGCCAGGACCCGCGCGGAAGCATCGAGACCCGAGTACCTAGCCACGGAAGGGGCGGTTCCCCCGGCGCGATCTTTTGCGCGGGCAGGCACCCCACGCTCTAGGAGGCTGCGGGGTTGGCGAAGAACAAGTCAGCCGAGGGGGCCTGGCTCGGCGGCTGGGATCCTGGCAGTGCCCGTGGAAACCTTTCCAGCGAAGTAACATTTTCCAGCTGCGCTGTGAGCAAACTCCAGGCGCAGCGGACCAGGTGGAGGGAGAGAAGGCAGGGCTGTCCTCGCCTGGAACACGCGGGGCTCCCCTATCCGATTCCTTCTGTCTCTCCTCTGCCTTGCGTGGTTTTAGATAGAACTACACTTACTGTAGGCAGTCGCCCCCTCCCCTCCTGCGGTCTGGCCCCAGTAACCCTGTGGGAGCCCCAAGGTGGCTGAGCCCAGAGCTAGTGAGGACTTGTGGGTCCTGGGCTTGTACTATAGAAGAGACAGACTTCTACAGTGGTCGGTTTATACCCAAATTTGAATTCAGTGGAATGTAAGATCTTGTGGGCGAGTATCCAGGCCACAGCCACACTCTGTGAGCCCTGGAGCATCGGAGCAGCCTTCCTAGAAGGCAAGGATATGGCAAGGCAGAGGCCAGAGAACCTTTTCAGGGGAGGAAGGAGGAAAGCCTGATTAAAAAGAAGCCAGTAAGTTGTGGGCTAAGGAGCTTTGAAGGCCAAGATAAGGAGTTTAGAAACAGTGAAGAAGTTGGATGGTGGGAGAAGAGAAGATTGAGGGAGAAGCTGGGAAGGCCTTCTTAGAGGGATAGTTAGCCTCCCCCAGTCTCCTGGTTTAATCGAGCATTTGGCTCAGCAGCCACCCATCAAGGACACACAGATCAGAGCCCAGCGGTGGAACTGGGCCCACCCCAGAAGATCTGGACCCCAGGCAAAGGTCCAGGCTTCTATGGAACAGGAATAGATAAAAGAGATAGGGGCCGGGGGGGGGGGGGGGCAAGCAGTCTCCTGAGACCAACAGGTTGGGGCTCGGACCAAATATTCTAGAGGTGCTATTTCCCCCTCCAGGTCCCTCTGTGCCTATGTGGTGCACAGGAATGTGACCTGCGTTCTACAGGAGGGAGCAGAGAGCTATGTAAAGGCTGAGTACCGCCAGTGTGGGTGGGGGCCCAATTGCCCTTCCACAATCAGGTGAGTATATCCCAGGTACAGCCTTCAACTGAGAACAGAGCCATTTCTGCAAAGGATTGCTGTACTCTGGACTTGAAAGAACCTACCTGAGCCACAGTGCTGGCTAGAATGGACCAGGACCCCTGAAAGAGGCCATGAAAGACCCCTGAATTTGGAACTTGCAGCAAATCTTTCCCCATAGAGACAAGGCCGGGCTCAATTTATAGTCCAGTAACCTCAGGGATATAAGCGGGAGGCTGGGCTAAGAAGATGTGAGGGAGGCAGAGTTTAGGGAAGGAGAGGACAGGTTGATAGTACAGGGGCCCAGAGCTGAGACCCAAGGGAGGTTCTGGTGACCAGGAGAAGGTGAGGCAAAGGTGGACGCCAGAGGTCCCGGCATAGTAGGTCAGACAGGCCGCACGGGTGACGAGATCTAATTGTCTGCATTTGGAGAGTTGAATTGTGTATGTGTGAAAACAGACCTATGCTCTGCTGTACCAGAGAGAACAGGTGCAGGGCTGATCAGGTAAAGGAGGGTGAGTTCCTGGTGAGCCCTGCCTGCACTTTGGACTTTCCCTTCCTGCTCACAGCTGTCTCTGAGCAGAGCCCAGTTCCCCGAGTGACTAGAGATGGGTGGCAAGAGTGAAAAGCTGGTGGGCGCTGAGAGTAGCCCGGGGCAGTGAAAGGGACAAGGGACCATCCGAGCGGCAGTGAAAGGGACTGTCCACGCAGCCCCGGTGCAGTGGCTCTTCTATACACCAGGAGTTTGAAGCTCTGTTGGGATTCTGAGAGGCTCCGGGAAAGCCAGAATGGAATTTCTCATGGCAGCAGGAGCTGATGGGGACCTAGTGCTCTTGGGAAGGTTGGGGCTAAATCCTTGCTAGCATTCTCTTTAAGTAACCAGTATCAAGCAGGGCTTCTCCATGTGTCCTTCACTGCCAGGACTGAGGGCCTCTGTGAGGCCTACTCCACTGCATGGTTTTATCATCTAGAGGGTCAGAAGAGGAAACCCCTGGGAGTGGAAACATGCAAAGATTGTTTGGGATGCCAGCTAGGGGGCAGGAATCTCAGCCCACAGGTACAGGACTCTTGTCCCCTCTGATCCAGGTACCGCTCAGTGCTCAGACCCAGATACAAGATTGGCTACAAGACTGTGACAGACCTGGCCTGGCGTTGCTGCCCTGGTCTTACTGGACAAGGCTGCCCTGAACACCTCACGGACCATGGAGCTACCCCACCACACCGAGAGCCAGAGCCCCAGATTCCCTTAGGGCAGCTGGGCCCAGGCCCCAGACCTCCTCCTTACAGCAGAGAGGCCCCAAGCTCTCATGGTGAGTCTGTCCATGGATGTCCTCCAGAGGGAGTCAAGTTTCTTAGGCTTAGTGGCAGGGTGGGGAGGGAACCTATACAGGCTACAAGCTCTCTTAGAGCTGGGGGTGGAAGTGGAGAGGTACATCACATGTGGGGCATGACTGTTAGGCCTGAACTTTCCCCACCCAGATCTCATCATAAAGGTGAAGGAGCTGTGTCTAGGGCTGAGGATGACATGTTGGAGGGCCAGGGGTGCTCCTGAGGTCTTTTTTTTTTTTTTCCTTAGGAAGAAAAGGCCAAGGGCTGTTTGGTGAGCGGCTAGAACAGCTGGAGGGCGATGTTCGGCGCCTGTCACAAGCATATGGCACTCTGAGTGGTTTGGTGGCCAGCCATGAGGACCCCAATAGGATTACTGGTGACCCTAGGACTCCCGTTGCACCTATAGGCTTTGGAGTCATCCCTGAAGGGCTGGTAGACCCAGAAGACAGAGGCAGAGGACCACTCATCCCTCCTCTGGGTGAGATCCTGAATAAAGTGACAGAGGTGAGTAACACGTTACAGACCAAGGTGCAGCTCTTAGATGAGGTGCATGGGCTGGCCCTCGGTCACGAGGCTCACCTGCAGCGGCTGCGGGAAGCCCCGCCGTCCCCACTGACCTCCCTAGCACTGCTGGAGGAGTATGTGGACCAGCGGCTACAACGACTCTGGGGGAGCCTGCTGGATGGCTTTGAGCAGAAGCTGCAAGGTGTTCAAAGTGAGTGTGACCTGCACGTGCAGGAGGTGCGGCAGCAGTGTGAGGAGGGCCAAGCAGCCAGCCAGCGCTTGCACCAGAGCCTTGATGGCCGGGAGCTGGCCCTGCGTCGGGAGCTCTCACAGCTGGGCACTCAGCTGCAGGGCCTGACGCTGACTGGTGGGGGCACCTGCTGCAGCCAACTGGCTTTGATCAATGCCCGGGTGGACAGCCTTGAGAGGAACCTGCAGGCTGTCACGGAGGCGCAAGGTGGCCTCAGCACCCTGGCTGCAGATGAGCTTGCACGTATCTCTGCTGCTATGCTCCAGGGAGGTGTGGACGGGCTGCTTGAGGGCCTAGAGACCATTAATGGGACAGAGAATGGAGCAAGGGGCTGCTGCCTGAGAATGGAGATGGGGGGCTGGAGTGTCGGTGGCTTCGGGTCTATGCTGGAAGAGCGTGTACAGAGCCTAGAGGAGCGTCTGGCGGCCCTGACTGGAGAGCTGGGCCACAACAGTGCCACACCAGACAGATCCGCACGGCCGCTTGTGCAGACAGAGCTAGCCGTGCTGGAGCAACGACTAGTCTCCCTGGAGACCTCATGCACCCCAAGTACCACCTCAGCCATCCTGGACAACCTTGTGGCAGAGGTGAAGGCCTGGCAGAGCCGGAGTGAGGCCCTCCTACACCAGGTGGCCAGTCACACGGCTCTGCTCCAACAGCTCAATGGTACAGTAGCCGAAGTTCAGGGGCAGCTGGCAGAAGGGACAGGCAGCTCCCTCCAGGGTGAGATCACTTTGTTGAAGGTCAACTTGAATTCGGTGAGCAAGTCCCTCACAGGCCTCAGTGATTCCGTCAGCCAGTACTCGGATGCCTTCGTGACCGCCAACACATCCCTAGATGAACGAGAGCGAAAGGTGGAAGCGGAAGTCCACGCCATCCAGGAACAGGTCAGCAGTCAAGGCTCAAGGCTTCAGGCCGGCCACAGGCAGGTCCTGAACCTGCGAGGGGAGCTGGAAAGGCTCAAGGCTGGTGTGGCCAGTGTGGCTGGAGGGTTGAGCCGCTGCCGGGACACAGCCCAGGAACTCCAGCATACAGTGGGCCACTTTGACCAACGGGTGGCGCGAGTGGAAGGAGCCTATGAGAGGCTGGGCCTGTTGGCCGCCCACCTGAACAGTTTGCCTACTGAGCAGTTGAGCAGGTCCAGGGACGGCCTGTGGGGCCACATAGACAAGCTGAACCGCACGCTGGCCCAGCACACGCAGGACATTGCCCGACTCCGGGATGACCTGCTGGACTGCAGAGCCCAGCTGGCTGAGGTGAGGCCAGGGCAAGCTGACTAGGAACTGGACGGAATCTAAAGCCAGATCCCACCAACCCTGGGAATATCATCCCAGAGACCAACCCTACCCAGCAGCACGTTCCAGCCTTCCCTGGATGAATGGCCTTGGTCCAGCTCAGCCACCCTGAAAGGTCCAGCCATGGATCAGGATAACAGTCAAGGTGAGCTGTAGAAGATGCTGCCTCCAAGAGTCAAGGCAAGCACGTCACGCCTGCAGACAGAGTTGGACTTCTGAGATGGCACGCTGCAATGTCTGCACTCTCTTTTGTTGCAGACACACTGGAGTTAGCAACTGTGCAAAGCTTCGAGGCCAAGACTCAGATAAACCTGTCCATTGTTCCCTTTACCGACCAGGGACCAGTCACAGCCCTTGGGGGCATCTCTTCCCTTGTCCCGTGGGCTTCCATCCTTGGGTATGTAAGGAAGATGATGCCCACTGGACTTACCTGGCAGCTTCATAGGTGCTATTTCTGAACCAAAGACCAGAGGCCACCCGAGGTTTCCATTTCCCCACACATCCTTCAGGACAGAACAAAAGCATGCAGCCCAGCCAGGAGTTCTCTGTATTCCTTTTGATCTTGCCTCATGGTGAGGGTGTAGGCAGCTGTAGACTCCCAAAGAAAAGAAGGAATCCAAGCCCTGTTTGGAGACCCCACCCCAATTTATAATTTTCCTTTGAATTCACAAATACACCCACATGGTCCTCTCCAGTTAGAGGAAAATCTCTCCCCTGCTTCCCAGGTCAGTACCTCTGGCCAAGAGCAACCTTGGGGTCTGTTGAGGTGGACCCTGAGAAAGGGGCTGTAGCTGGATGAAAAGGAGTCCAGACTTTGCTATTCAACATCCTTACAACACCCCAGCCTTGCCAGGAGGTTCACAAACTGGAGAGAAGTTGGGGTGGGGAGCTGTCAAGGAACAACTGGAAAATACACATGCTTAGAGACTGACCACCTCTGCTGACTCCTGGCCTCAGTTTCCCCCAAAACAGCCTGGGCCTGCTCTGCTGTTTTTCTCCCCCACAGCCCTGCATTCTGACTTGTGGGCAGTCACTGTTTGCCCTCCACTCTGATGTGGCTGGAAGCAGGTTGAAGATTAAATCTTTGAACTGGTCTAAAGGTGCTTTCTTCACTAGTGGCAGTGGGAGGGAAAGCTACTGAAGTGTCATTCTGTGTCCCACTCTGCCTTGGATGACAGCTCATGCAGCCAGCTGGACACTAGACTGACCAGCAGATGCCAGGGCAGGATGGCCAGCAAACACCATCTGCTGTAGTCAGGATTGCTGAGCCCTCAGAAAGGGACCAAGAGCAGCAGGGCAGTGGTTTAGCAGGAACCCCAATTCACAAGCCCTTCTGTGACCCCCAAGTCCTTCTCTCCTCTTGTCAGAGGGGCTCTGGACCATCCATGCTTGGGGCTGAGATTTCAAAGTATTTAGAGGAAGAAGTGATGCCTGGATCAGGAGCTATGGGCAGATAGGAACACAGTGACATCTGGCTTTGGAGGGTAGTCTGGGCTCCCAGGAAGGGGTAGGATAGTAGTGTTCCCAGAGGCACTCAGCCAGACCCTGAGAAAGGGGTTGTTGCTGGATGAAACGGGGCCTGCTGCTGACACCCTTCCCTGTCCATCTAGGTCTCAGGTTTTCATTGAGGCCACCTCCTCTGTTCTGTCTCAAGTTGAGGCAAGGCCCCAGGGTGGCAAGAGACAGATACACCTAGGACAACGGTTTTCAACCTTCCTAACGCTGTGACCCTTTAATACAGTTCCTCATGTTGTGGTGACCCCCCAACTGTAACGTTATTGTCATGGCTCCATCATAACTGTAATTTTGCTGCCATTATGAATTGTAATGTAAATATCCAGGATATCAGACATGTGACCCCTGTGAAGGGGTCACTACCCACAGGTTGAGAACCACTGAGCTAGGGGCTAAAGAATCCTGCAAGGGCCCTAGTGACACATTTAATTGTTAGAGGTCGGGGCTGTACTTAGGCCTGGCGCAGCTGCCCCACCCCTGGTGGGGAGGTAGGTCCTAGGCACACCCGTAGTCCCCAGGTACTCCCCATGCTCCCCCACAGCCAGCTGAGCCCCACTCGATGATGGTGCCATCTGTATCAGCAATGACGGCTTTGCCATTTCATTTCTTCAAGGAGATGGCCCCTTGTAGTGGCAGGTGCCCTGGTACTGAGTAATCACACCGAAGACTACAGCATTTGTGTTCCAAGGAGAAGGGAGGGTCTCTCGCTGCCAACCAATGTGCAGCCTCTTTGTTGGGTTGGCCCCATGGCACTCGTCTTATAATCCTTGGTGTCCTCAGCTCCCCACCAGGCCTAGGTCAGACCAAGGAGAATAGCCTGGGCAGGCTCAAGCCAGGCAATCGAAGTCCACACAGGGCAGTGGCTCCCGCCAATAGCAGAAGTTGCTGTATTCAGGGTTGGTCAAGTCTGTGCTGGGGCCACGCCCCACGGGTGGGAAGAGGAGCTCAACCACCTCCCCGAGCCGCTGGTACCTGTGGGGAGAACGGGCTGCGCTGAGTCTGAGTGGTCACGAGGCGGTGGCCTTCACAGCTGGTGAGGCCCAGGATTTGTCCAGGGGAGGAGGCATGGGAGACCTATGGCCTTACGTGGATTTGTGGTTCTTTATGAGTTCCTGCACGAGGTCTCCCCGGGGGTTGACTGTGAAGATTCGAGATTCAGGAAGGCCCACCTGCCGGTAGGCAAAAACATCCTACAGGAGACAGAAAGGGTTAGTTAGGGCGGTGTCTGAGACCGTGTGGGGCAGGGAGGAGGGGGACACTCACATTTGGCCTGTTCCCAAAGGCAGCATAGAAGGGTTGTTCTTGGGGCAGGAACAGCTGCTGGATGTCACTCAGGCAGGCAACCTTGAACACCTCTGGCTTTTTCTCGATCACCTCCCTGGAATGGTCACGGCCATGGACAGGGAAGAGGGAAAAGGAAAGGCAAGATATCAGAGGGTCAGAAGACATGTCTGGCCCGGGCTTGTCGGGCACCCACGAGCAAATGCGTGCTGGGCTGGAGGTGCTCTCGCCTTTCCCTGCAAGGGGCCGAAGGCTTGTGTGTGAGGGTGGTTACCTGTGGAGGGCGGAGAAGAGGCTGCTGGGAGACAGCAGGATGGGGCCCTTGGGAAGGCCACAGCCACGCTCGCTCACCCACTGCAAGTACCCCTTGGTGAGGTCAGCCATGCCGATGGCCCGTGCTGAGCAGTACAGGAATTTGTACCCATTTCTAGGGGTGGGAGACAGCCAATCAGAGACAACCTCCACATTCCCATTGCTCCTTTGCTGTAAGCCCAGCTCAACTCTGGGGCCCTGGCCTGCAAACCCAGAGGGCTTTGCAGGAAGAGGCCTTGGGAAGGCCTTGAGAGGTGACCCCCAGCAGCTATCCCAGCTAGAACATGGACTCTGTTTTATGGGCTTCCTGCTACCTTGAGGTCAGCAGGTAGACAACTCACAAGAGAACTAAACACCAGGAAGGTTTCAGTGTTTTATGGACTTCCCAGGCTACTTCTGTTATGGGCTCTGGCAGTGCCTAAGACTGGTTTCCCAGGGAAGAAGTTATGGTGGCCTAAGGTACCCTATGACTCTCTCCCTCCAGATAGGGGCTCTGGCCCAGCCAGAGCTCAGCACTCACAGGTGGATTTTGTGGTAGAGACTAGTAATGCCCTGATGTGTCCAGTCTTTCCCCAGCTGGGGCAGAATGTGGCCCAGAGCATCCGACCTATAGTCAGGGAAAAAAGGTCATTTAGGTCACCCAAATGGCTCCCACGCTCCATGGGTTTGGCCCAGTGTGTCTCAGCCCACCCAGAAGAAGGCATTTCACAATGCCCCCACACACCCAGAACAAAGGGAGGTAAGTCCCCAGGCATTCCCCCAGGCTCCTCACAGCTAGCTGGGTCTCACTTGGTGATGGTGCCATCAATGTCAGAGATGACCACCTTGTCGTCCCAGTTCCACAGGTAGATGGTGGCTTTGCAACGGCAGGTGCCTTGGTACTGGGTAGTCACACTGAAGACCACATCGTTAGCTCCTTCATGCAGGTTCAGACATCGCTGGGGATAGACAAAGGGGGAAATATGGTCCCCTACTACCTCTGCTTTGACTGTGGCTTTTGATCCCCATGAGTCTCTTTCTCTACTTCCTCTTAGTTAAGAGACCCTTCCTGAGGAGTCTCATGATAGCCACACATGGATACATTTCATGGGCAGAAGGCATCTGTGCTGCCCAGGGACCAGCACAGTACCAGGGTCAGGAGCCCTGACTTCCCTTCAACTCTCCACCACACAGATATCAGACAGGCCATGTCTGTGACTCTCTGCCTGTGTTTCTAGGTCAGCCCCAAGGCAAGGGCTGGTCTTGACAGGCAGATACTCTGTTCCAAAGGAGGGGACCCTATGAGATCATCTTAGAAAGCCTCTTTCTGGGGCCAGGATACCTGAGTCAGTATTCCCCTAAAGGGAAACCTAGCCCTGAATGTGATCCATAGATAATGATGGTGGCTGCTCTCCATCATAGCTAGGTGACCCCTGTGTCCTGGCTGATCCCAAAGTAGACAAGTACTTTAGGGTACCAGGCAAATGGCTGCTACCCTGTACCAAGCTGGTCAAACCTTGAATGCCTCCCTGACCATGGGGCCTCCAGCTACAGATCTACAGTGAAGGATGAAAGGGGTTGTCAGAATCTTAAGAGTTGTCAGCACGGATGACTTCAATGAGGTGTCCAAGGGACACTGACGGTAGATATTTTAGGACATAAGATCTGAGAGAAATGAGAAGTGAGCCCCCATCACTATACAAGCAGGGACCATCAGGGAAGCCGCCTATGGGGTAGATTCTGGCCTGTGGTGAACTGCATCTCATCTTGGCCCTGTGAGACTTGGATAGAATTAACACAGACCAGCCCCTCCACACAGAGACACACGGATGCACACACTCACGATCTGATCAGAAGACAGACGAAGGGACTTCTTGTAGGTAGGGATGTAGCCTGGAGTGGCAGGTGGCAGTGGGGGGACTTCAAGGATCACAGGGCTGTCTGGGGCGTCATCATCACTGCTTAGGACTTCTGTCTTCTCTCTGTGGGCATTGCTGGTGTTTGAGCCACCTCCCCCAGCCAAAGGGCCCTCTTTTGCTTACACTCAACCCAGGGCCTGTTCCTGTCCCTCTAGAGACTGCCTTCCCTTCAAGTGCCACCTATGAGGGATATCTACCCGGATTGGTGGGAGCCAGGCTGGAATGGAGGCCCACACCTCCTAGCTTCAGTATGCCTCCCTGGGATGTCCGCCCTGGAGATACTTTCCTGAACAGGTGTACCCTGGCACATCTCCCCAGTCCTCCTCGCTTTGGCTGCAGCTGACCTACTCTGCTTGGTCACTCTTTCCCCAAACTTGGATGGCTGGGCCACTCCCAAGGTTAAAAAAAAAAAAAAAAAAAAAAAGGAAGCCAAGTCAGCAAGTCCCTGGGTGCTGGGGAAGAGAGACCCTTGACCCTTCCCTTAATATAGCAGCCCCTTACTCAGGTTAGGATCTGCATAACTGTTCAGCTTTGTCATTTCCTATCAGAGGGATATTTGGCATATCTAGGTCTCAGCTTTCCCATCTGGGAGGTGGGAACATTTCTCAGGAAAATGAAGTGCTTGGGAATTGACAACCACCATGGCTAGGGAAGAGGTTCTGGAACTCCCCCACCCAACCAGCTCACCAGGCTCCAGCCCTGAGCCCTGCCAACAGGTCCAACTCACCCCTGCTGCTTCCTGGTTGTGGTTTTCTCCCTCTGGGCAGTGTGCTGTGGGAAGAACTTCCATAAGCAAATTCTGTTCCCCGCCCTGTGCTGGCCCTGGCCTGTGATCACTGACCACCCACCTACCTCCTGAGCTGAGAAGTCCCTGCGTCTCCAGGAAAACCACCAACGCCCACCCTTCCGGGGCATCTTCTCTTTCTCAAGTTTGTCCACAGTGCTCTGTGGGTAGATGATGGCCATGAGTTCTTTCTACCTCCCATAAATCTCTTATGTTGACATTGGGAACTCCATGAGGCCAGAATGTTGGCCCAACTTATAGCACAGTCCTGTCAACCTCTGGAGGCTAAAGAAAATGTCCACCACTCCTCCC